GATCTGATTCCATCGGTTGAATTCCCAAGGGAACACTGCATATTAGGCTTTTATATATATAAATTCTTGACATATCATAAAATATTAGCTATGAAAAGACCAATCAATGGTAATTTCAAGCAGAGAAAAAAACATAAATAAGGACAATGTGCCTTAACAAACATGATGTCCCTGAAGAAATGAAAGTGAGTAGTTTGAGTGAGTATAAATATACACACGTGGCAGTTACTGGTGACAGATGAGACTTTGGGGTTTGTCATTTAGATTTCACTTTGAAGTTAATTTAGAAGACAGACTTTTTTTAATGGAAAGTGACTAAATCAGATAGCTTAATTCATTATTTTTTTTTCAAATTGTTGCTCTTGAACCAGAAGAGACAAGAGAATACAAGTGACTCACAGCCACCTTATACTAGTGTAGGAAAAAAGACCCAAATTTGCAACCCTATGTCTGAAGGATTAATAGTATTTTCTTCATTTATAAGAACTGCATGGCATTTATATGTCCAGAAAATCTCTTGACATATATTTGTTTAGTAATTAGACTGTAGTACTGATCTTCTCTGTCATGTTGGCTTTATTTGGAAAGTAGAATTCCTAAAGTGGTGTACATAGAAGGAACTTTTGTAAGAATTAGACCTCAGATAATTCTGGGAGCTGGTAAAGAAATCTGTGAAAATATACTACCTGTGTATCAGGTGATGAGTCTGTAATTGCAATAGGTCATCAGGACCAACAGGTAAGAAGAAAATGTTGGTGTGGAGCAGGAGAGAGAGAGGATAAATTGGACCTGTGATAGCATCTCACTCCTCCAACCTTGATGACATAGTTAAACTGTAGAATAAGCTAGTGTTCCTTGATGACATAGGTAAACTGTAGAATAAGCTAGTGCTTTTTTTTTTTTTTTTTTTTTTTTTTTTACTGAATTACACTTGCACCTGGCCCAGGACTTAGAGAACATAAGGAGGGAAATCCAGTGGGAAGTGGAGGAGTTTCAGGCCCGGATTCAGCCAGGTACCAACAAGTTGAGTCAACGGATCAATGACTGTGACTTCTGGTGCAGAAGCATAATGGCTACCACTTCACTTACACTGTAAAAATTATTTTCTATTTTATTTGTGATCAAACTGATCATTAACAAGAAATGCTGGAACACTGAGTTCCAACTTAGTTAAGGAATGTTACAAAATCACCACCTTTCATCCCTTGTCAACCTGGAATCCATACAGATTTTCTTAAACTATATTTAAATTCCTAATAAAGATGCTTCATGTTATGTAAAGCAAGTATCACCTTGTACAATTTAGAATATACTGTCGCTTTCCCCAAAGGACAAAGAAAGATCTAAATATCATTTCATCTAATTTTGAGTAATATCTCCTCTTCTAGGCCAATCATATCCCTGTCTGAAATCTTACAATTTATCTACAGAGATATTAAGTTAAACATTATTATAACTTATGTTATACAGTAAGGGGATGAGTATGTACAGAACATAATGATTCATTTCTCATGGATAAAATAACATCCCCTGGTCTATTATTTTGTTACTTATTATTATAGATATATAGGAAACACAGATTGAATGCTTCGCTCTTTCCTTTTATGTTATAACTAGAGGCCTGATACATGAAATTTATGCAAGAGTAGGCCTTCCTTCCCCCGGCTTTCCTCTGGCACCCGGGACCCAGGCTTCCCTCACAGCCCTGTCTTTGTCCGGAAGGTCATCCGGAAGGATGTCCAGTCTAATTAGCATATTATACTTTTATTATTATAAATATTTTTATAATAACGAGTCTATTCATGCTATGCAACAATTTCTGTGTTCTTCCTAAGCATCATCATAGTTTGCTGTTGGTACAATTAATCCAGACACTTAAGATCTTTCCATGTTTTTTTTTCCCCATGAGGTCATTAAAATGAGGGATAATCATCACTGTCCTAGATGTTTACTGAACCTCATTCAACCCTTAAATGTCTTGATATTAAAGGGAAATTCAAAATTCTCAAATCAACTTTTTTTTCACACTTTCTTTCTTGTACCTTCTCTCTCTGCCTCCATCCTGGTCCTCTGGTTGCAAAGAGCAGAGCCCTTTCTGCTGGTTGGCAATTTCGCTAACATATATAACTCTGCTGAGGATGGTGCAGATCTAAGTTAAAACTATTCACATGGAAATTTGGAGAATTCTATTTTTTTCTCCATTAAGCTTGAATTTTAAGATAATGGATTTGTTGTGATTTTAAGACAATTATCTTTAAAATGCATAGAAAACAATCTTCTTTATAAATTCACTGGTTGGGATGATATAGTCCAAAGTGAACGATAGAGCATGAAAATATTTATAAAATTAAAAAATACTATATCATCCACACATGCTGAACTTACCAAATACGTTCCTAAACCTTCTGAAAATTAGATGTTCTATTGTTCAAAAAGATGTTCACTTTTCAAAAAAGTGGGTTTTGATCATAGTTATTACATGGCAACATTGGAAGAGGAATTCAGTAAGTAATTTGGATACTCAGGTTTTGGTAGTGAATTTGTCATAGCTTTGTTATTACTGAGAATGATGCATGTACTTAACACTTTCTTAAGGCAAAACACATTAGTATGCTGTCTTATTTATTTTACTGCTTTTTCTATATTTGTAACAGATGAGCTCTACAAGCATCTCTAAAGTTCTCACTCTACAGCTGCTGGATAGGTAGACCATAATTTTAATTTTGTGAAGTAAAATATGAACTCTAATATCTGACCTTCTACCCTTCTTGATTTTATATTTAGGTTTTTTTCCATTCTCAGGAGAAAATGCTTTAATGTTATTAAAAATAAATTCCAATAAAATAGAAAGTTACATATAAATTATACTCCTCATGCGAGAGTTTCTAGGAATTATAGTTTCCTAGAATTACTAAGTAACCTACAAGTGACTGATTTTTCCCTTTTCTCTTTTTTAAATTTTGTTTTATTGCATAAAGTATTACAAAGAGTGTTACATATGTCTCCTTTTTTTTCTCCTCTTGACCTTCCCCTGGCCTCCCCTACCCCCCAGTGTCTTGTGTCCACTGGTTATGCACGCATACAAGTCCTTCGGTTAATCTCTTACCCTCCATACACCCAACCCTCCCCGGACTTCCCGCTGTAGTTTGACAGTCTGTTCGATGTTGCTCTGCCTCTGTATCTATTTTTGTTCATCAGTTTATAATGGTCTTAATTATCCATAAATGAGTGAGATCATGTGGTATTTTTCTTTCATGGACTGGCTTATTTCACTTAGCATAATGCTTTCCAGTTCCATCCATGTACATTTAGTTTTTAAAAGAACCAGTCTGCAACATATTTTTTTCGTTCATTCTAAATAGACATACTTTTTTAAAAAAGGTTAAGAAGTAGGGAGCATCATGACTATGTATTTCCTTCATTGCATCAAAACTCATGTAGATACCCTGGTAACTTATCTACAGACATAGTTAACCTACTTTAGGTTTACTCGCTGAATAGCACACCAAAAATCTTTCTGATCAAAGAAGCATTACAAGTAACTTTTATGTATCTGCGATTGAAATATTTTTTGATATTTTTCAACATTTTCCACTTATAGGATTAAGACAATTTTAATCTGTGTTAAAAAACTTTAATTTATGTTTTTTTTTCTTTTAAATACTTAATTTTGTTAAAATTTTCTCATTATATTTTGTGGATTTAGCTATCATTTGTGAAGAATTGGTTTATCTTTTTGTACCCAGTATTCTCGGAAGTTCGATTTGTATTCTATTGCTAATTAAGTAGACACGATACTTGGAAGTTATTTTTTCTTAAGTTTTTAAGTGTACAGTCTAAGTAGATAAGTCTTGATATTGACCTGAATAATTATAACATAGAAAATCCCATGAACTTCCAGAAACTCATCTTACTTTTGCAATGTTTTAAGTTATAGAAAGATAGTTTTCATTGTAAGTTCAATGACATCTTTGATCTCCTTGCTCATAGAGAAGAGACATTGCATTTAAAAAAAATAAGGGTATTTTTAGGAAATAGACATATCAAGAAATAATTCTTAACAACCCATGGATCCTTAATGTCTCAAGACAGCAGCACCAAAATACAGGGTCTACAATGAAAGCAAACTGCAAGCACATTACTGTGGTGGCAGGAAAGGATTAAGGACTATGTAAGACAGCTGGTCTTCAACTAAAGAGACTTTCAAATGAGGCAATAATAAATACCTGAGTGTGGTAATGAGCCATATCTTTTAACCTTAACAGCATTCCCCTAATTCAAAGGATATGATTTTTAAATTGATGTATATGGCATACAATATCATATTAGTTTCGGGCGTACATCATTGTGATTCAACACTTATATACATTACAAAATGATTACCACAGTAAGTCTAGTAACCATCTGTCACCACATAGCCATGACAATATAATTACTAGATTTCTATGCTGTACATTACAGCCCCAAGACTTACTTATTTTATAACAGGAAGTTTGTACTTCTTAATCCCCTTCACCTATTTTGTCTGCCCTCAACCCCTCCCTCATCTGGTAGCCACCAGTTGGTTTCTATGCCTATGGGTTTGTTTTTGTTTTGTTGGTTTGTTCATTTGTTTTGTTTTTTAGATTCCACATATAAGTGAAATCATATGATATGTGTTTTTCTCTGTCTGACTTATTTCGCATGGCATAATACCCTCTAGGTCTACCCATGTTGTTGCAAATGACCAAATGACAAGATTTATTTATTTATGACCGAATAATATTTGTGTGTGTGAGAGAGAGAGAGAAAGAGAGAAATTCTTTTGATATTCTTTGGATACTTGTTGCTTCCAAATCTTGGCTCTTGTAAATAGTAGTACTAGAATGAACATCGGGGGGGTCTATGTATCTCTTCTCATTAGTAAGAACATGGTTTTTTAAGCCTACATATTTCAGGTTTTGGAGATGGAAAGAACATTCTAAATCTGCAATTAAGTAAACAAATATTTGTCCCTTCTAGGATATCTGGTGAACACTTGTTGCTCCTAGAGATGAACACCGCACAGTTTAGCTGAGGATAAAGGTAGGCAAGCAGTTAATCTGCTCTCTAGCTTCCTGAAATGCTACTCATTTAGAAGAGGAAATGACTGGCACATTTTTAAGGACTATCTTTTGCTTTCATAAATTCACTTTTGATGTTACCTTTCTAGAGTATTTGAAACATCACACTACTGCTAAAATTTTATTCACGACACATGACCAATATTTCCAAAATGCATTTCTAACATAAAACCAAAATTTCAATATGAATGTTTAATAGCCTTAATTGGGTGGCAGTAATCCTCTGGATAATATGAGCATAGATTCTTAGGGTCTAAAATTTTATTTCATGTTATTTTAGTCACTTAACATATTTAATTAAATGTGCATCCTCTTAAGAGTTTATAGACAGAATATTTCCCTTCAGCAGCACATGATACTTTTTTATTTTGTCTTCTATTCTGCATAAATAATAAGCAAGAAAGTAGAGTTTGGAAAAATATGAAGCTATATCTGTGAGGAAGTCTTCAAACTATGGTGTCAGATTAGGTATGACTGACAAATTGAAGAGATGCCCACACGAAGCAACACATTCTCAAATAGGAATCAATTAGTACAGGCATGATCAGGCCATGAAAAGCTCAAGCGGTCTCTCCACTGAAATAGCCTCTTTTGTCGCCAGACTTTGAACAGGAGATCACTTTTCCTAACCATAACTCTAAATATACCTTAGTCTTGATTTCCTTTTGCATGTGACAGCTCAGCTTGGATGAGGAAAGATAACCCCTAGGTCCTTCCTCACACCTCTCCTTGCCAGTGCTGTCAGTGTAGGTGGAGGAGCTTTCTGATGACCCGGAGTGTCAGTGGGAAGGTACGTACATACATACACACATACATACATACAGCAGAGCACTAATGGCTGGATAGGAAGCTGGGAAGGACTACGAAAAGACAGATAAAGCCTCAGACTATAAGAACATGTTTCCATGTTTTGTAGAAATGAAAAAACAAACAAACAAAAAACACAACATTCACCCAACTATAGCATTTAAATCATTATACTCCATCTGTCCTCATTTATCAAAGTGATTTTAAAGTACTTTACTTTCAATATTTTATATAATGAAAACAATCTTCTTTTGGTTTTCCAAGTAGAAATTATATTAAAATATCAAATCTTGCCAATGTAGCTCAGTGGTTGGATGTTGACCAATGAAC